AACTTGGATGTATCTCTTGAACTGCAGGTTTACTCATGGGAGCCCATAATTTGCCACGACTTAGTCGATATGGGATGGTCAACACTTGGAGATCTTTGCATTCACGACGGGAAACTTTTGGGCGGTGCATATTATGAAAACTCAGTCGCTGTTTGGGTTGCGGACATCTCGGTATTCACCATTCTTTCTGAACTTATCTTCAGTTTCCCTTTTTATATTTATTTAATAATTTCTGAAATACCATTCGCCTATTCCAATTTCTGTATGTTAGCTTATCGAGCCATATGGGACAAGAATGGATGCAGAGCAACTCAGCAACACGGACAGAAAATGCGACAGCAAGGCAAGTATTCCAGAGAAAGAGGAAAGCCACCTCAAGTCAAAGTCAAACATGCAGTCAACCGCGCCCGACAGCGATTCCAAGGAAATCAAAACTATATACGTTGACCGTAAGTCCTTTTTACTCCACAGTACCATCTCAATAAGGTTAACATTTTTACCATTTTACCCCACGTGAAAACCACAGGTGTGAATTCCGTCACTCCAAACACTGTGGAATCTTCCGTTGATGTCCCCAAGGCCATGCACTCATCTGAACCCAAGGAAATCAGAACCGTCCGAATCCAAAAGCGCGTGCCAGCTGTCAATAGATCTCTCATCACGCCTAACATTGTGCCTCGTAATGGACCCGATGGGAAAGATCCGGTAGTTTCTAGAAGGGAGTCAATGTCTTCAGTTAGGGCTGGCGGTGGCACGTCTATGAAGCCTACTAATGCTCGGAGGCTGTCGACTAGCCGTTTTGATATGGAAAGAATGCCAGCCTTCCCCCTCGACTCTGTGCCTCAAGACAGTGTAAAAAGCTCTTTTGACGGTAGTAAAAAGGACATGAACATTCGTAATAGGCTCGCTGCTGATGAAAATGCTAAGGAAATGTCTGAGGTGGAACAATCGAATGTAAAGAGTGTGGGGGATAGGCCTTTGTCACCTGCTGCCACATCATCAGGTATAGTTTTGCTCCTTTCTCCCTCTGAAAAAAAAAAACCTGCATCATTTTCTTCTGATGATTGAGATAATTTTTTTCTCAGCAAGCTTTCTGAACACACGATTATAGATTACGGGGATGATCGATTGATTATCTTTCTGAACACTATTTATTTATATTTTTTTCCATTCTTCCAGGTGATCAGGAACCGAGTACAAGTAAAGTGGCGAGTCCTATTAAAGTTTTCAACGGAGGTTGCAACTGTTTAGAACATTACTTTCTCGTCTGAAATGAAAAATCCATAAATACTCAAAAGTCCTTTTTTCTGGTTTTGGCAGTGAATGTTGTGCATGGAAAGACACGAAGCTTGGTCGAGAAGTTTGAGCGAAAGGAAAAAGTTGAAGTGGACGAAAATCACAGTCCTGATAGGG